CAGTTCGGCGGCGACATGGGCCTCAGCGTCGACCATATGGCGGCCATGATGGATGGAGATGGCAGCGACATCATCTCGCCAGACGCCATCCTCAACGCCCAGGACCAATTCAACACCGCCGCCAACGACGTTCCCGGTGCGGGGCCGTTGCCAGCGGCCGCCTTTGCACCACCCGCCATGTCCAGCAACAACCCGCTGACCGAGTTCACCAAGAGACGCAACTGGCCGGCCAAGGTGGTGGAGGAGCTCAGGGACTTGCTGCAGATTCTCGATTCCAACGGCCGCATCAGATTTGTGTCTCCCAGCATCACCGCTCTCGCCGGGTACACCACGGAAGAGGTCCAAGACACCTTTTTGAAGCATCTGATCCATCCCGACGACCAGGGCGTGCTCGTTGCTGAGCTCCACGAATCTATCGCAACCGGCAATCCCTTGCGCATGTTCTACCGGATGAAGAAGAAGGATGGCACCTATGCGATATTCGAAGCCGTGGGCCATGCCCACATTGCGGCTGCCCGATTTGCACCAAATCCAAACAATCAGTCGCCCTTTTGCCAGGCCGTCTTCATGATGGCCCGCCTCTACCCGACCAAAAACGCCGCGCTGCTAGATTCGTTCCTGGAGCACAAGATTGAAAACGAGAGGCTACGGCGTCGCATAGCGGAGCTGCGGAGAGAGGAAGAGGCAGAAGCAGAGGAGGCGCAAAGACAGTGGGCGCAGAGCCGAGAGGGCCGGTCGGATATCACTCCATCCGAGGATGCGGGCAGATCGTCATCAACAGCATACGCACCTTCCAACTTGCCCACCGACATGTCCATGTCATCAGGAAATACCGACGGCGCATTGACTCGAAAGAACCTAGAAGATGTAACAGCGGGCAGTCGCCAGGACTCGCTGCGTGATAAAATGGCTCGGTTCGAAGCATCATCCGCAGATACCATAGCCCTGTTGACAGGCATAGAGAATGGTGAGCGGATGAGCAACGGCAACCGGAGCCCAACTCTCATCAAGGGTGATGCGGGAATCGCCATGCCCATGGATAGGGATTCCAGATCAGGCGATAAGAAGAAGAAACTCAAGCTGGCAGAGGAATATGTCTGCACAGATTGCGGTACAGGGCCCTTTTCAACCTTTGCTCTCGGGGGTTTTTTTTTCCAGCTACTAATACAATACTTAGGCACTCTTGATTCTCCAGAATGGCGAAAGGGACCCAACGGCCCAAAGACACTCTGTAACGCCTGCGGATTACGATGGGCGAAGAAGGAAAAGAAGCGCAATAGCCTCGGCACACCGTTGGCCAAGCCAGCTCAGGCCTAGCAGTTGAAGATGTTGGTCAGAAAGAAAACGACGAAGAGAGGGAAGGGACAATCTTTACACCATTACGGCCGGACCGGAACCTCGCTGACTGCTTTTTATGATGGAATCCTGATACGGAGTTTGGTTGGGTTCAAAGACGCATACATCACTGGCGACAGGAACTTGCTTACACGATTACCGTTCTTGTTGTTATTGTTCTGGGGAGAAAGAATGCATGAGGGCTTTCTATTTTTTGTTTTCTTTTTCTATATTTTTTTTCTTTTTCTTTTTTTTCATTGGGTTGGGCACGGGCATCTGTACACGAATATGATACCACTGGGAGGCGACAATTGGAAGCAGAACTAGACGGAAATGGATGGACATGGTGAATTACCAATTGGGACACCATGCTTTCTGCTGATTATTTTGGAAACACGCATAGAATACGGCTTTGTTCATGTTATTGACTTTTTTTTCTTTCATATTAATTTTAAAACATTTCATGCTTCGTGATGTATTGTTTCAATCTGGCCGGTTCAAGCATTCGGTGTTGGCAGAAGGAGATGCTTCAGATCACCCACAATAGCAAAGGTATAGCAGGTCACCCTTTCGAGTTCACCTAAAGAATCAAGGGTAATAGAGAGGGCTATCAGCCTCAAAAAGGAGCTTCGCAATGCCTATGTTGCGTAAGTATATCAATTGCATTCGTACGACATGATTCAAGGTGCATTACCTCCGGGTAAGCAAACACGCTGAGCTGCTACGTCAGACGTCGGTCTCCTCCATTCTTCATCTACCAGCCACAAAAAAAGGGAAGATGATTTACTGCTTGGTCATGTACTTTTGTTTCCGAACCCCCTTTCACATGAAATCCTCTAGACGGGATAAACTCCAAGCAACCCCGCGTCTTTGCTCGATGTAGCTCCCGCAGCATTAGACTCTGCAATTAGCTTTGGATTCAAATCTCCACAGCTCAGAGCTACCTCGGATGTCGCTTCCCAGCTAACCTACATCAACTCATTCAATTACCTCCCAAAACGAATGCTCGTGATGAAACAAGCTTAAAAAAAAAAAAAAAGAACAATTGTTATTTTTTTCGCAATTTGTGCTTTGACCACTTCCTTCTCCATCGCTCCACCGAACTCTACTGGTCGGTGCACACAACTTTGCGCCTATCACCTACTAGAGGCGTCTCGGTTCGTGTAAGCACGGATAATCAATTGAAGAAAACAAGACTGAACTCTCGCCCACAGGGATTGGCGCATTCACTCGAGCTGTGACTCTTTCATCCCATCCCCCTCCAAAAAATCTCCGAGACATTTTGAAACTTCGTTGCTCGTCAATTGCGAAACATGGCTCCCCCGGAGAGCTTCGCCAATTATCCTGATGTCCTGGAAGGGCCGGATACGGGATACAATCAGAGGATAGATCACAACCCCATTCTACGGGGGCTGCCTCTCGTTGTGGGTTCTGGAATGTACGTATCCATAAACGATGAAGAAAACAATGAGAGGAGACAGAGGAAAAGTTCAATTAGGATGTAGAAGCTAATCCGAATGATTCCGTTGTAGTATATGCAACGTCGGTGTTGTGGCAAGGTTCTTTTACGGAAACGCGGGATTCACCAAGATCAAAGACATGCCCACCCTGGATGATGTCTCGCCTACTTTTCATGTATGTACACGCCATCACTCCCTTTAATTCGGGTAGTATTCTCGAGTGGGAAAATGCCCAGCGCAGTCTTTGGCTGATGGGAGTTTGTGTGTGATTTGCAGCCTACCGTCACGCCGTTGGGCCAGACAGGGCCCATGATTGGGTTCGAACCGGAGCTGCTCACCTCCCAACACCCTTCGTCCAAGGCGCGATACTACTCCGCCGGCGACTATCACGAGCTGTACAAGAGCGGCAGCGCCACTCCACTGCAGGTCATTGAGACGCTGCTCGGCCTGACCACCGGCACGGGTAAGTACAGCGATGCCTGGGCGGACGCTCACGGCGCAGAGAAGCTCGCTGTTGAAGCGGCCAAGGCGTCCACGGAGCGGTGGGCTGCGGGAAAACCCTTGGGCATCTTGGATGGGGTGCCGATTGGAGTCAAGGATGATACGGAGGTGAAGGGCTACGTAAGCCATTTCGGCATGAAGTATAATGCTTCGCTGCCGTTCTTTGCGCCGCAGGAGGAGACTGTGTGGCCGGTGAAGAAGCTGCAGGAGGCGGGAGCCATTGTGTTGGGCAAGAATAAGATGCATGAGCTAGGATCAGGTACAGTAGCAGCCATTTGCATTCATACCTATGTTTCAGTTGATGTGTGTGTACTGACGATGTGTAAACAGATACCAGCGGCGTCAATGTACGTAATTTCGTCACATATCGCCATCTTACATGTTAGATGGATATACTAACATATGCTCTCACCTTCTCATAGGTCGCCCAAGGAACTCCCACCAACCACTTCAACAAATCCTACTACCCCGGAGGCTCATCCAACGGCGGCGGCTCGTCCACGGGAGCCGGCGTCGTCCCCATCGCCGTCGGCACGGACGCCGGCGGCAGCGTCCGCATCCCGGCCAACTTCAACGGCGTCTACGGCCTCAAGCCCACCCACCACCGCACCCACGTCATGCAGATGACCATGTGCGTCACGGGCCCCCTGGCCGCAAACGTCGCCGACCTGACCATTGCCTACCGCGTCATGTCCCAGCCCGACGCCTCCTGTCCGACGCAGGGCCGCTTCGCCCTCTCCTTGCCGCCGGCGCCGTCTGCGAAGCGTGTCATGGGCGTCTTCCGCGACTGGTTCAACAAGGCCGACCCCCCTGTGAGGGAAATGTGCGACAAGGCGCTTGATTACTTTGCTTCTAAGCGCGGATATGAGATTGTTGATATTAGTCTCCCCTTTCTCCCCGAGTTCCAGGTCGCCCACGCCGCGCTCTGCCTCGCCGAGATGGCGGAAAAGAACCGCCGCAGGACCCCCAACCCGGCGCACCATCAGTCCCTTGCCGGCCCGGCAAATAGACTCCTCCTTACCATGGGCGCTCTGGTGTCCGGCGCCGACTATCTCAAAATAAACGCCCTTCGCACCGTCTTGATGAACCACCTCGCGTTTCTATTCCAAAAGTACCCGGGCCTGATGATCATGACGCCCACCTCGCCCCTGATTGGGTGGCCGCGATCCCCCAGCGATGACTCCCACGGCATGAGCGACACCAACATCACCATGCGAAACATGTCGTACGTATTCCTGGCCAACATGACAGGCACACCGTCCATCACGGCGCCGGTAGGGTATGTCGATCCTGAGCAGGGGGAAGGGAAGTTGCCTATTAGCTTGCTCGCCACGGGGGAGTGGGGGAGCGAAGAGCAGCTGTTGGCGTGGGCGAGGGAGGCTGAGGAGTATTTGAACGAGACGTATCCTGAGGGACGTAGACGGCCGGATACATGGGTGGATGTCATGGCACTGGCTCGAGGTAAACAGTAAGACAGGGGGTTAGAAACATCATATAGGTAGGCCATATTTCAAATCGAGTGACATGAAAGCTTTATACAAGAACATCAAAACTTGAGAGGATTTTCGTCAGTTTGGGCGTCAAATCTTCGTAAGCTCATCATTGATCAAGTCTTCCCTCTTGGGGCCAAACCACTGCTAGATCTGCTAGATCTCGTAGATAAAACACACATATACATGAAACCTCAGGTAAAGTTGTCAAAGCTTAGAAAAACTTGGAAGCAATGCCCAAGAGTCCAGAGGGTCCTGACTGACCACCTCCTTGGCTCTTCATGTACATCTTCAAAGCCATCTCACCAGCCTGCTGGATCGCGGACTCCTTGCTGGCATCAGATGCCACCTTTCCATCAGCCGCCTTGCTATCGAAGAGCTGCTTGTATGTTAGCAAGAGGGATAAGTCAGGATGCCATATTTCCTCTGTGATATCTCACCTTGCTGGCCTCGGACAGGGCCAAGCCCAGGAACGCGCCCTGGCTCTGGTTGCCACCGGTCTCGCCCTGTGTGAACTTCTTCAGTGCTTGTAAGGCGGCGGCAGAGCCGAGGCTGCCGGAACTTAGGTTGTCGGCGCCCTGCTCGTAGGTCTCTTGGTGCTTGCGGATAGCATCTATATTTGAAGCAGGGATTCAATGGTTAGCATAGAGCTCTTTATAGGCACGTCGAGCATCTACCCACTAAACCACGTAGGTAGCTTGTTGGAAATTATCAACTAACCTTGCTCGTCGAGGTCGCTGTTAGCCAAGTGGCTCTTCTGCTGGCCAAGGCTGCTGATGACGTTGGAAAACATGGCGCTGTTGCCAGAGGAGCCGGCGTATTCGGAGGCGTGCTGGTGCGCAGTGCGCAGATCCTCGTCCTCGTGGTGGAAATCACCGCCAGCGGGATAGTTGCCTCCGTATGCATCTATAGAATCGCAAGATCGTATCGTGTTAGGGGTGACATGCTTCGGGGTAGCTGCGTTACGAGGGGCGGGGGAGGGAACTGACTGTTTCCGGGAGGGAGTTGGCCTCCTGTATAATGAAAGAGTTTGTCAGCTTCAAGGTTACCATTGCAGAGTAGAATAGTGGCTGTTTGATCAAGGGATTCGTGTCTGATGAAGGCAATGGTGATGGCGAGACGAATGCAATGCGGCACATACCTTGGTTGCCAGAGCCATGGCCAGAGCCAGAGCCAGAGAACTGCTCCTTGAGCTGCGACTCAAGGTATTCCTTGCCGGCGTTCATGAAGGAGTCCATTTTGATGTGTTAGAGTTCAGAATAGTCAGAGACGTTGCAAAGATAGGAACGAAGATGTCTATTTCGAATGCGCTATTCAATGGCAGAGATGGATGAATATACAGTATTGGGATCAATGGAATATATACGGCGCTACGCAAGGCCCTCCCACCACGAAGCTACCCCGCCGTGCGAGCTGCAGCAAAATATGAACCTGGCCCAGCTGAAATGCTGAGCTATTACAGACTATGGCCAAGCAACAGGAGGGGCCATTTCCATTGCGGGGTGTCACCGTTGGTCTTCAGGGGCAAAACCAAATACTACTTAAACAACATCCAGCAATGTTGACGATGAGTTGTTTATGGCTCATAGTAGATGCTAGATGCCAACTATTAGTCAGGTGTGTCTTGCAGAAGCTGAGGTTGAGCTGTGGCGGTTCTTCAGCTGGCTGCACCCTGAATTGAAGGTTAGGGGATCAACTGGAGGAGTTAGTACCTGGTTGATCGATTGTATCCATTTGCATTAGCAGGACGAGGTCATTCATTTCGTGGGTAGCACCGGCACGTCTCTGCCGGGCTTTATCCACGCGCACTCCGCCGAAGATGACGCGTAAACATGCGTCCAATCACCGACTCCTTAGTAAGGGGCCATGAGAAAAAGAACACCAAGATCTTAATCTCCATACAAACGTCATTTCATTAAACGCACATTCATGCGATGGATGGCATTTCACCGGATATCGGGGAAGGGGGACCCCCATTGCAGCTAGTAACAGGCGCTGCTAAGATCGCAATGTGCCGGGCAAGCTGGGGAGGTGAGAACAAGCTAAAGCTTGGCGGCCTCTGTCAATGCGGCGCATGCGCTTCTAGCCCTGTACAGCCACGTTTTCAGTGGAGGCTGTTCTATCAACTTTGATTATTGCATACATGCAATTCGGCTGCGAGCGAGATGATCAGAGCCTGGCCCCCATGTTGCCTGTTTACAGTATACACGTACGAGCACATGTTTTTGTGCGTTGCACATGATAGCACCCTTTTGATATCTTCCTTTTCTGGTTCATCTGGAAGAGGAGTAGAAGTCCGCCCAGCCCAGCCCAGCCCTGCCCCCTCGAGGCACAGGTCTAGAGTCTCAGTCTGTGACACGTACCAAACGTGATGGCTGTCCGGCTGCAGCGTCTCCCGGGAGTGCCTCCTTGGCATACAAAATGGTAGGTTGTTGCCTACAATGTGCTAACCTACCAGCGGCCAAGTCTGTTGTATTTGCGCTTTTGTTTGTTGTTGGTCTATGAAACAACGGCTCGATGTCACTCAGCATCAGTGCGGGTTGTCCGTGTGCACGGGCATAGCCAGCCCCTCGAACCGCCCAAGATCAACCCCTTAGATTGACTTGTAGCCATGTCATTGGGCGCTTGGTATGCGTCTTGCGTCTGCTGTCCGCGTCTGAGACCCGAGGGCAACCCAACAGCAGTACCGCAGTGCCGCATTCGCAGGTGCAAGACGCACCTTTGCATCCTTTTGGGGAACGCACATGCAATACGGGGTTTTGCGGCGTGTTTCGGGGTGGCGCTGAGACGAACTGGTGTCAGCCAACCTCCCCCCCTTCCCAAGCGCGGCCATTGCTTTTGCCAGGAACGTGTTGGCCGTTTGTTGTGTCCCTTGAGATCCTCCTGAAAATGTACAGGCCGTTTGTTGTGGTTGCTTTGCAGCAAAATGTTTTATACTCGAATGGATGTCCTATTCTCAACGCATACGAGTACTGCCTAGGTACATAAATAATAAGGAACTTCGTAGGCTTGCAAGATATGTCCCGAACTGGCAAGTCGCCAGAAAACTCATCGCCTCGGCAGGGTCCTCTCAAAGGGTCCCCTTCAAAAGAAAGAATACGGATTGCCGTAACTTCGCACTCTTTGGACCCGTTTGCTGCCGTTTGTGCTCCACCGTACCGCGTCTGCGGGTGCGATAACGAGCGGTATACTGTACTCGGAGGTACACACCCACTAAGTCAGACCACATACTAGTCGGCCACACAGGCTAGTCGGCCACATCAATCGGGAATCAAAAAGAAGGGAAAAAAAACCACAACAAGGCCGCGATGTGTTTTTTTTTATTGTTTCTTTTATTCTAAATTAAATACATAACATATATCATTAATTTCAACAATTTCAACTTCGTCAGACTCCTTAGCACGCTGTGCTTCTTATTCTATCTTCTTCTTCGTGTTTATAATCTCTTTAATCCTAATAAATCAACTATTTAGGTTTTCTTCTACTTTCTATTTCTTTTGCAGCCGGAAGCTATTAACTTAGCGTTATAGATTACAAATCTTAACCTCTGACGCCGCTATTATAGTATTCTATTAATCTAGCTGCCTTCCAATCTTCTACAACAGCAGCCGGGTCCTTGGCGTTACAACCTTAATTGATTATATAACCCTTTAAACTTCTTACGACCGTTTAGGAGTATTAAAATTAATTAAATCTACTTCCCTCTTCTTCCTAGCTTCTGTTTTTACTGTCTTAGGGGTCGTCTTTAGTTCTAGGGGTTCTTTAATAACTAGACAGCTTCCCAACGGCTTATTAACATTAAAGGGCCATAGACTAGATCTAAGCCAGCTAGCTTTTGCGTTGTAGCTTGTTAGGCTTCGTTTTCTAGCTTTATAATAGCATTTAAGGAAGATCCTTTTGCCCGCTGGCGTAGAATTATTACAGTCTTTGTATTTTAATAAAGCTTAACGATAATAGGTCTTAATAGGGGAAAAAATTAAAATATTAAAAGGCTAAAGGACGTAGGAACTATACAGCAGTAGGAATAGTAAATAAATATTATTTTTAAAATATTTATATAGGAAATCGTTAATACAGTGGCTACCGTAACCGTTAATAATGAGTAGCCTCTTTAACGGCTGCTTAGGTTAAGTCTAAGGAATATATAAGACTTTGAAGCTATAGGGTAGCTAGTCTTATCACTGGTCTAGTAACAAAGGGTAACAAGGATCAAATTGATCAAATTTGCTTGTTGAATATGTTCATTGAATTGAATTACTAGTACAGGAAAACTCAGGAAAAACCTCTCTTATTTATATTCCAAAAACCAGTACTAACAGTTAGAATTGAGATACATAGAGACTACCATTAGATAGCTAGGAAACAGGGCTATCTGACGGTATAACTTATGTATCTTGATTCCTTTTGATGGTTGCAGAATCG